AACAAATTCTGTTTTCGAAATGAATTTACCGGGCGTTCTCCCTTCGCCGTGATGGCGACTTTTCTGATTAAAGATAACGCTTCCCATTTACTACACTATCTCTAAAATAACCCTGACTAGTAAGATATGATGGTAATTGTAAGGTGTAAGAGACTAAATGCAGAATGTTACTTCACAATAGACTTGCATTCCATCCCGAGGTGGTCGAAGACAGCAATACGCCATGCACTAAAACAACCGGGATGATTTATAATCAGTGTTATCACATCGGTCGCAGCACCGTAGGCAAGATGAAGCGAATCCTGTGTTCTGATTGGCTACTCGAGCGGGCAAGATGGGCCCATCTTACACGCTCGGGATTGCCCGCGTTGATCTCGCGCATGAAAAAATTGAATTAGAGCTACGTTCGTAATTCTTGAACAATTTCGGCGATGGAAACGCAAAAAGGGGCAGAAGATAGTCAAAACAAAGAAAACAGAAACGACTCTCGTGAGTTTGTTGTGCTACAAACACAGTTGGCTTTCTTTCCTGGCTCTCCAAGCAAACAAGTCGTTCTTAATTCTTAAGAAAGCGAAATCTTTTTGCCATATGATAAATCCTTTATTAACCAAGCTCGTTCGGTCAAGATGGCTGGATGTTAGCCTCGTTATTTTTTCGCATTTTTATGGACCTCGACTTCGTCTCAATCCATAGAAATGCAAAAAAATAACTCGGCCAATATCCAGCCATCTCGTCCTCACGCTTGTTTAATAACTCATATGTATTAATGATGCACTCTTCCAAATTCAAGGACCGAAGCATGACTTCGACATTATAAATCAGATGGAGAACAACAATTTGCATTTTTGCTTCTTTTTCAGCTAAACCAGAGTGGATAATAAAGCCAAAAGACATTACATCTGGCTCTAACAGCACAATCACTTTGCCCTGTGTTGCTTTTGGTATACCAAACATAAGATACATATGGTATCGAAACGGCAAACCGATTGTAGGGACAAACAGACATGAAATTACACTGGGAAATTTGACTATCAAAGACTTGAGGCCTCACGATAATGGAATCTATCAGTGCTTCGTCGGAAACAAACATGGCCAATTACATGCTGATATTAAGCTAACTGTCTCAGGTAATGAAACAAATATTACGTCGTCCATGACGAAACACAAGCCTTATGAAAGAAACACTTGCATTTCAGTCTAATACATCAACGCCAAGTTTTCAACACTATAAGCATTTGCTTGTTGTTGTAGTCATTGAGTTATTCGACTGAACAATCCTTTTAACTTTGCCTTTCTCTATCTCTGAGTAAAGCTGGCTACACGAGAACTGTCATTGTAACTTTATGAATAGCTAAGGAGGGGATCAAGGGGAAAGCGAGGCAAGGGTGGTACCACTAATGGACTGGCCCCCAGTCCACGAAGGAAAACAATAATTCTAATCGCCTCAAAAACCGGGATTTGCCCCACCAGTAATAACCCTGAGAATTAACCTTTACGTCACCATTTTGAGTCACTTCTTACTATTGAATGCCGGGTATTTTTTCCACCAAACTAGAGGTTCCTGCCGGCTTTGGCCCAGGGAGTAAAGCGCCACAACGAGCCCAAAGTGCCCTCATACATTCAAGTGTTGAGCTAATATGTAACCCAACTGGAGAACCTAAGCCCGTCGTACGCTGGCGATTTGGCGCCGCTTATCTACAAAGTAAAGGAAGGTTTCATATTTCATCCAACGGAAACTTAAGGATCACTAACGTTACCAAATCCGATTCTGGGGAGTACATTTGCGAAGCTTCCAACACACTGGGTAAAGCCTCGAGAAAGGGAATCGTCAATGTTGTCGGTATGCTACAGCTTCACTTTGCCTTAACTTGTCTAGTTTGTACAGTATGAGAAATTTAGCCTCAAAATTTCCAAAAATCCCGACTTGCAATCTGTAGCAATCTTCCTCATGCTTAGTCATCCTTGATCCACAAACTGTTATTTACAGATTTCCTTTTAAATGATGACAATTTTCAACGAACCATAAAAAATCAAATAACAAACATCTTGACCTAGCGACAGGATCCCTCTTGGCCCGTAAAAGTAAGTGGGAAGCCTGACAGAAAAGTTTGAAGGTTTACCTATTAAGGGAATGTTAGTCCTCAAAAACTACTAGTTCCTATTTAAGAGAGTGGAGATTACATACGTTCCAAACTAACCTGAATATATTTGTACTCGTGCCACCAATATCAGTTGAAAAAATCTCCTTTCCATCTTAGAACACATCGTCGAAACTAAAAACATGGACCAGACGATGACAGCTGTCCTAGGCGAGAACATCAGATTTCTATGCGGCGTTAGATCAATCAGCAAAATAGAGGTTACCTTCAAATGGCTAAAATTTTTTACCCATGAAATCGTGTCAAGTTCGCGCGTGAGAAAAACAAGAACAGATATCAGGAACAGTATGTTATCAACAAGTGATCAGAGAGGATACTTGAAGATCAGTAGAGTTCAATACAGGGACGCTGGGCCTTACTCCTGCGAAATAAGGGGCAATAACAATAAACTGATCGCCAAAAAGATGGTCCTCTTGAAGGTTAAAGGTAAACAAAGACATTTCTGCAGATTTATATTGTACTTGTGGTTTTCAGGAAAACAGGGGCGCACGAGCCGCGCGTGAGTGGGTCAAAGGTTTTTTCAAAATTACTTGATGACAGGAAGGAAACGTAGTTGGAAATGCGTTCCTCATAAGTGCGATTAAATATTCAATAATTCGTTCCCCTCCCTTCTCTAGTCAGTAACCAAGTGTGTTTGTATTTTAAGGTCCTCCTGATCCACCGACAGATGTGAACATCAGTGAAGGACACGCTAAAGGCGAACATGTCAACGTCACATGGATCCTTGGAAAAGCGAACAGCAGTCCGATAAAAAAAGTTGTTATTGAGTACACGACCCAGTTTTCTCCAAAGAAATGGCAAGTCACTGCTGAGGAATCTGAACCTCGGAAAGGATGGGCACAGATTGCATTGTCTCCATATGTAAAATATATTTTCCGAGTCATTGCGGTCAACGACGTCGGGAAAAGCAACGCCAGCGCTCCGTCCATTAGCTTCCAGGCACCACCAGCAGGTGGGTTAATGCCTTAGCTTCATTTGAATGCATGTATAGACCACTTTCATAAATGGCTGCCGGATTAATATTCTTTTGTTTAAATTTAAAATAGCCCCTCTGGCCTCGTTCTCCAGTACAAAATTCAAAAGAATACATTATCTCAAGCGAGGCCAGA